CTCGATAAGAGTTATGCAAAGAAGAAGAGAATAGTAGATTGTGGACACCGATTAAAATTTTTATTTTTTTTATATTCTTTTATTTTTAATATCTTTCTCATACAGCCAATTAAATTAAAAGCGTAAAAGCGCAAAGTTTTTGTTATACGTATAAGTTTTATATAAGAAATAGCATTTATGTTTGTATCACACTCCAGAAGGTTAAGGAGAATCGTGCACACTCCGAGGGATTATGCAATGAATACCAACGAATTTTTAAAATTTTTTAAATTTTATTTTTAATATGTTTTTCTTATATAATTAGTTTAATTTTTGTTATACGTAATATATAAGTCTTTATATAAGAATCACATAGCATTTATATGTTCGAATCACACTATTAATCTTTAGAGGAAAAAAGCGTAAAATTTTTATACGTGTATAAGTCTTTATATAAGAAATAGCATTTTATGTTTATACACTCTTTACCTTTAGAGAAAAGGTTGTAAGGAGAATTATTGTGTCACACTCGGAGGATTGTGGACACCAATGAATTCTTTTATTTTTCAAATTTTATTTCTAATATGTTTTTCTCATATAATCAGTTTAATTTAAAAAAATAATGTTTTTGTTATACAAGATGAAATCTTTTGTATCTGAATAAGAATGGCACACATTATGTTTGGTGTTACATTTTCTTTAAAAAAATTGTCATTTATTAAGTTTTGAATAAGTATATCAGAGTTTCATATATATATATTTGTTTAAATTACGATTACATGTTTAAAGTATAATTAAAATAAAAGTTACTATTTAATGCGTAATTAACGTGTTTTATTTAAGTTTATTTGATATTTAAAAATTATTCTGTCATATAGCTGAACTGACTGCACTAGTTCAGAGTCTACCTTTATTTTTTCTAATGTGCAGTAAAGAAGATAGACTCTGAACTAGTGCAGCCAGTTCAATTCAGTTCAGCAATAAAAAACGTACCTAATTGTACATCCTATATAGGTATATAGATCTTCCTATAATATTCTCTCACTATATTCCTATTGTATTCTCAGAATATTCTATGATGATTCGGTAGAACATTCTATAAACCTTCTTAGAATCAAGAAAACAGTCTCAATTGAACGTGCTGATAATATTCCTAGAACGTTACTTATACTTTGTACGTATCATTTGAGAATATTCTAAAGTTTTCAAAAAATATTCATAAAACATTCTTAGAATGTATCTGTGCTATCTGGGTATATATATAATTAGTCACAGTGTGATGTGGGGAATATATCCATCCATTCTTTACTTCATGATATATGAGGCATTATTTGGGCCATTCATCAATACCAAAATGGACAATAACATTCAAAATAATTTTCTAACTATTTTTACTAAAAATTTTTTTCTAATTTTCTTAAAATTTCGAGACAAAATCATCAAGATTTCTTTCCCAATAATTGCATATACATATACATATATATATATATATATATATATACTATTATATTTGCACGATTGTTTTGGATAAATAGAGTATGCAATATATATATAAAAGGTGGATGAAATTATACGTCGAATTTCTCACCTTCCCCTCTTTCTAATAACACACCATTGCCCTCTCTGTCATTCTCTCTCTTTCTATCTCCCTATCGCTTCCCGCCTCTTGCCTCCCGCGCCTGCGCCATGCGACGCGACCAAAATAACAAACGGAAAGACAATTCGCACGGACAAGAGGTTATTCCAGGTTACTCGACGTGCAACGTGCATCTGATTATTCATTTTTTGTGCATTTGTGAATTATACCAGTATTAACCAGAGGTGAGTACATAATATATCCTTATTATATGAAAAATAATACGATCGTGGTTTAATTGTTTTTAATAGTGATTTCTTTGTTGAAATAGAAATACTGACAATGACTATAACCTTAAAAAGTCGCCGTGGTGAATTAAACCACGCGATCATTTTTCCGTAAAGAAAATCTTTATTTTAAATCATTTTGTTAATTTTCATGGTCGTACTACTTAATTTTTATTCATATAATAATGTTTATTTATTTCACAAAGGTAGAAAATTGTAAATGAAAATATTAAGCATAATGTATATCATTTAATTTCCTTTTTGAAAAAGTAGCACTATATTACTGCCTTGCACCCTTCTATCTGTATATACTTCTTTCATTTTCAGCACGAAAAAACACTGGCTATACAGCAAATATAAGTAACCGCCTTATTCACTCACTCCTGGATCTAACAGATTCGAAATCTTCAAGTAAGTTAACTATTATTTATTCAATCAAATATTCTGCAGCATAATCTATACCTAATGATATACTCTTTAGGTAATAATAAATCATCTGCAAGAACACCAGCTCCGTCCACGCCAGCCACAATAGCAACAACTGCTAACAAAAGCTTTGCGATTTGCAAAATTTTCATAGACCCCAAGACAGAACGATATTCAAGGAAGAAATATTAGAAGTTTTGCGCACAGTGAAGCAACGATATCGTAACAAAAGAAAAAAATCAATGAATGATGAAAGAGATGAGGAATCTGATCTCGACGGGGACGAATCATTAGATTCAACCGATTATGAAACAGATTTATAAACAAATGTTTTTATATATAGTCTATTTTTAGTTATTATATATAATATATAATTCATTATATAGTTTTTTCTAACAATAATATAATAAATAATTTTATATACAAAATCTACCTTTTTATTTCCTTTCGTGTAATAATTAATTGTAAATTGTTAATATTAAAATAAAATTATTGCAATAAATATATAAAACACGCTTATTCATGATGCAATTGACGTTCATATCGCTCGCACGCGTGAGGATCATATTTTTATCGCATGCATGCAGTCTCACGCGTGCCAGCAATATGAGTCTCCAATGATGACGCATCTGTTTAGTGATAAGAGCTCACGCGTGCGACTTCATCCGCACTGCGTGCGCGCACAGTGAGGTTATTTGTGCAAGCATTTTGTTATCTGGGATATCGTGCTGTTACTGACCTCCTTAATCATATAGTGCGGCATCATCGATTTGACAAAAATTTTATGGTAATGTGTTTTGTTGTGGGTTGTGGTTCTACTTACTCTAACTGGCTTTCTTTTAAAAAATATTTCCAAAGAGCCTATCGGGCATTAATATTTAATACAGGAAATTATGAAAGAGAAGATAATATACAGGAACTTGCACGGCCAGAAGATTTCGAAGATATTAACGAACCAGCAGGTAGGCATTCTTGGAGAAAAATTATTACGTTGTTTTTAAAATTATTCAGATTTAAAATCTGAAAAAATATGAAATTAATTTTACATTAATTTCTAAAAAATTATAATTTCCCTGAATTGACATCTTGCCAGTTGTTTGAATGGCATGGAGCACAGTTTTTAATTCAAGTGCGAGAAGGTTGCAAAACTTCACAAATTGTACTGGATCGAATACGTGTTGTAGTGGAAGAATTAATGAAAGATTATCTCTCTTTAATTCTGGTATTAGTTATTAATTATTTTTATCATTTTGCTATAATTGCATTTCAGATCAAAATATTTTAACTTTTTAATTCTTTATTTATTTATTAAATTTATTTATATATTTATATATTTTTACAGAAAAAGATGCATCAAATTTCAAACAACAATTCAGGTTTTATTTCTATAAAAATGTTCTATGATTTATTAAATGAAGATCTTTCACCGTCCCTACTGTTTTCAGCTGTTGAATCCAGATGGTTACTTGATAAGTTTATTATGGAAAAATTTAACATGATAATGCCCAAAGCGATACCTCTTGATAAAACACATGTTTGGCTGCGTAAACCTTGTCGTAATTTAGTGGAAAAAACTCATTATACGTACGTAGTATCTTTTCTTAGCATTTTGAAAGCTCTCTTGAGTAATGATAAAATTTGTTTCAAAATTGATAATCCCAAGAAAAATACCGATCGGTTATTAACTGTTACTGATGGCTTATTTTATGAGAGAAATGAATTTTTTGCGTCTCACACTAACTCATTGGGCATCATTTTATATGGGGATGACTTCTGCGTAGTAAACCCACTTGGGGCAAATACTGTAAAACAGAAGTTGACAATGTTTTACTGGACTCTTGTTAATATCCCTCCTGAACTTCGTTCTAGCCTCAAGGCCATTAATTTGTATGCAATTGTAAAGACTACTTTTTTGAAAAAATTTGGACTACACAAGGTACTCAAACCTTTTATTGACGATATTAAAACTCTTCAAACTGAGGGCATAAATGTATCTGTTAATGGTGAAGTTGTTAATATCCCTCCTGAACTTCGTTCTAGCCTCAAGGCCATTAATTTGTATGCAATTGTAAAGACTACTTTTTTGAAAAAATTTGGACTACACAAGGTACTCAAACCTTTTATTGACGATATTAAAACTCTTCAAACTGAGGGCATAAATGTATCTGTTAATGGTGAAGAAAGAAATTATAAAGGTTCCTTATTTTTTGTAACTGGAGACACGCCATTTTCTGCTATGATGGGGGGCTTTAAAGAATCTGTATCTGCAACTCGTCCTTGTCGTATGTGAATGACAACACAAGCAAAAATGAAAATTTACTTTACTGAATCTTTTTTTACCCTGAGAAATATGGATGTGCATAGGGATTATGTTGCTGCAGTGACTGAGCCTTAAAATGTTCAAAGAATTAATGACTTTTGGGCACAATATTATGGCGTAAATCAGCGTTCTC